GAGAAGGTAAAATGGTTCAGTCTGTATCTTATTTTTACTTGAGGATGCAGGGATTGGGAGAGAGACCTGGGGAAAGCCATGGAAAATGCCAGTCAAGACTTCACTGTCTGAAGGATGGCTGAGGGAGCAGTTCTGAATGCTTTGCTGCATTCCCAGAATGACATGATGAAGAAAGGGTGTGGACAGATGAGGGGCTCCTCATGCCCGAAACTGAATTGACTAATTTCCATTTGCTGTTTTTTAAACTACAGAAGTGGTGTTAACTGAATGACTCTATGAAAAGCAAGCGTGCAGATATCTTAGAGAATCATCAGAATAGAAATGGAAGACGTTTTCTCAATTTTATTCCCGGGGGAAGGTGTTTTAGGCACTTTCCATGGCTTGGGGGGTAGAACTGATTTGTTAATCTTCAGGCAATAGAGAAATCCGGACTTCTGATTCCTAGCTGTGAAATGGCTTTTCACCAGCAACCGAGTCCAAACTGGGAACACTTTTAAAGGAGTGCTGAGATTCACCCATCACACGTGTGGGTTATTACCAGACCAATGGCACCTCACAGGCTTTGTTTCCATGGGCAACTTTGCTACAAGAAAGCTGGTTAAGAATCATACATACCTTAGGAAAAATGTGACATTCATTTTCAACTGTAGTGAATTAGGCAGAATGCAAAGTAGAGTAATGAGAATGAATATTTTTCCCTGTTACTTGTTTTCAAACTCTGTATGTTCATTTTATTTGCAGGTTATGTTCCATGTAGGAAAGAATTACTGATGTTATTACTGTAATGGGAAATGTATAAAAGCAACCCTAACAACAGCTAGTATATATCAAGATCAACAAAAGTGCATGGGTGGAGAAGGAAAAGACAAGAGAAAGAGGTTAAATGGTTGTATTACAAAAGGATAAGCTTTAAATGATTCAAAATCTAAAAAAAGAAAAATTAGTATACAGATATATTATTTTCCACTCACTGCATAAGAAAATTATTTGGATATTAAGTATCTTTATACTGTGGTTTTCTTCAATACTCTCCTGAAAAATAATTTTTGAACTTTTCCAGGAAATTTTCTGTCTGTAAGCTCCAGGAGAGAAAAAGAAATACTTATGATGAGTTGATTGCTATAG